ATGTACGCCGGCGCGCCGTGGAAGCACCTCTGCCTCGGAAAAGATCTCGAGAAGAAATTGGACAAATAGACAGACAACTCTCCCTTGAAAAGCAGACTAGCTCCCCCGGCATGTTATCTGTCTATTTGTCCAATTTCTACTCTAGCTGATTCCGAAGCCTGACAGAGGCTACGAAATTCATACAGGACATCGTTTGATCAGAAATAAACTCGTTTAAAATGTTGTCCATGAAAGAAAAAAAACGAACTTTTGGTGATGGTGTTATCCTTTCAGAATTCAAAAGGAAAGTTTGCACCAAAGTGTCACAAGCTTTCAAAACGCTCAGAGCAAACGATACGAAGCCGCGGAAGAGTGTTTGGTCAGAGAAAAATGGTCGTGGTGAAATCAACAGTAGCGAGTATAGCCGCAGGTCTCCGCTGATCAGTTTATTACTTAAAACATTATATTTAGTGCATTCCATACTAAAGTGTAATCTTCAATTTGCTTGGACAAAATGGGCAAAACCTTTGGTCGAAGGAAGAGTGTGGTTTGACAAGAAAATGGCCGTGGTGAAATTAATGATAAACAGGAGCGAGCTATATATCCAAAGGTCTCCGCTGATCAGTTTATTACTTAAAACATTATATTTAGTGCATTCACCTTCACACAAGTGTAATTCATCTTCACACTTTGGACAAAATGGGCAAAACCTTTGGTCAAAGGAAGAGTGTGGTTTGACAAGAAAATGTCGTGGTGAAAAATAATGTACGGAGCATAGCCACAGGTCTCCGCTGATCATGTTTAAAAAAGAGATGAAAGAATAAGTTCTCCGGGCCACAAATCGGCTGATTTGGGCACATCAAAGTCTGATCTACAGTAAATTAAAACGTCGTTACTATAAAAAGCCACCGGCAAAGGCCGTAATTAAATCGAAACCTTTCGTGATGGGGTCCTTTCTGATCTATTTCAATGTGATTTTTCCCAAATGACGTCCCTTTATATAATACCAAGGATGTTCTTGTTGAACGCCCTTGCCCTTACTTACATCACTACGGTAAACTGCTATCTATGACAAAGGTAAAACATAAAAAAGGTACGAATCAATTATATTTTGGTATACAAGTTGTAATGTTAAAGTATCTCTGTCTACTTGTGGATGTTATTGAACATGGAGTGCCGAAACGTGATTCATCGTGGGGGTCGTGTGGCGTAGCGGCAGAGTGCGCGACTCGGAACCTAGAGGTCCCGGGTTCGAGTCCTGACATGCCACCAAACTTGTGCCCTTGAAAGGCACTTTACACGACTTTCCTCACTTCGCTCAGGTAAAAATGAGTATTGTCCTGTCAATGTCCCCTTTGTCCCCCGTGTTGGTGGCGGCATTAATATAAGTTGATAAAACTTGAGTGTGTCGTCACCACGTCTGTCTGGTGATTACATGTTGGAATAAAAAAAATGAGTCTTATCTTTCACTCCATTCACTCCACGACGCTGGCTGTTCCTCTACTCAACGTCCATACACGTATGGAGTGTACATATATAGTCCTGTAAACACTGGGACCTGTGTACCATAAAGATACTAAGCAGGACTTTTTGTACGGCTGACCACTTGTGAGAAGTGTGGAGGAAGGAAGAGTGCGGTTCGACAAGAAAATGGTGGTGAAATTAATGATCAACGTACGTACGTACGGAATATAGCTAAAGGTCTCCGCTGATCATGTTTAAAAAAGAGATGAGAAAAATAAGTTCCCCGGGCCACAAATCGGCTGATTTGGGCACATCAAAGTCTGATCTACAGTAAATTAAAACGTTGTTACTATAATAAAGCCACCGGCAAAGGCCGTAATTAAATCGAAACCTTTCGTGATGGGGTCCTTTCTGATCTATTTCAATGTGATTTTCCCAAGACGTCCCTTACCAAGGAAGTTCTTGTTGAACGCCCTTGCCCTTTCTATCTATGACACGTGTAAAACCATAAAAAAAGTACGAATTAACTTCATTCACTCCACGCTGGCTGTTCCTCTTATCAACGTCCATAGATGTATGGAGTGTAATCCTGTAAACACTGGGAATAGAACCCGTGTACCGTTGGACACTTGTTGTCATTCAATATTAGACGCTTCGTTGATCGAAGAAGACTATGCCGGGATATAGACATTTTTTTTGTCACCAATTAATGCCGGAAAAGCCGCGTTCTAAAGTACAAACAAGAATTCGGAGATCTCATACCTCCATGAAATATTTTCTGCAAACATATATGTGTTGTTGTTTTGTTTTGCCTCATTCGATATGAAAAATAAGGTTGTAATTAGTATAATCTATTTCGATTTATGACCTTCTCTTCCTCATTGCATATTGTATGTGTAAAAAATCCTCCCCTCTAATGTCACCATTGATTATGCAAAAGCCCACCCACATTTACATGATTTATGCATAGTGATGTTCAGTTTCAGCGAACTTACATATGTATAAAATTTTGTATCGTTTACCACGAACATATTAACATTTTCATATTAATCATCCTCTTTCCACCGGCATCTTCTTTCCACCGCCAGGACTTCTGCATGTAGCTAGAACTTTGCAACCTTGCTGTAAACCAATGATTAGCCAGGACTGTTACAATCCAGGCTATTGTTTACATTAGCACATGATAGAAAAAAAAATCCACATTAGGCTCTTATTTTCATAATCGATATCTGTTGATGTTCCACCTGTCGTTGATATCCAGTGTGTGACATGTAACGGGAGGGGTCCTACTTCCGACCTATGTTCCATGCAAACGCACAGACCTTTGGTGATAGTTTATCTGACCAAAAACCCGCGCAACATGAGCTATAATATTGACAGATAAAGATCACAACTGTGTATTTCACTTCAGTGTAGCGCCTTGCACACAAGCGTAATGGTTCACGAAACTTATTATTATACGGCAGGTTTTTGGTCATTTTGTCGATGGAACGTTCTATGTGGTGCCCTAATTCCGACCTAGTGTTTAACATAGCCTCCTTCGCAGTCTTGTTGGGCGTCGGCGTAATTTTTTCTCTGAGCGACGCGAGTAATATGCCGTCGCGAGGGACGATTTGCTGCCGAGGGACTTTTTGCCACGGAGAGAAGGTTTCGCGCTCCAACAACCTTCTCTCCGTGGCAAAAGTCCCTTGGCAGCAAGCTCGCGTCGCTCAGAGAAAAAATTACGCCCACGCCCAACAAGACTGCGAAGGAGGCTATGTTTAACACAGGTAGATCTGAGAAGAGAGTTTAGAAATTATAATACACACATTATGACTAAAACAATATACAACTGTTTTTCTGTATCAAACAACGCTACTTGCTCCAAAGCGGCTGTTTGAAAAACAAAACCTTCATTTTTTGACACGCTCTATCAAACTCGAATACGGAATTAGGGGTAGGTCGGAATTCGGACACCCCCCGTTAACGTTATTACTTTATAATTTCTTCGTTGATTATGCAAATAAAGCCCTCATTTAAATAATTTGCATCTTATCGAGTATATCTTTGTTTAACCTAACTACAACTTGTACAAGCCCAAAATCATGAAAATCCTTTTTTGAGCCATCGTCTTTGAAAGATTTTACCAAAAATGTCCCTGCAGTTCCACTGAAACAAACTGCTAAGGGGGCCAAATTTAAACCGATTTCTCTGACATGGAAATATATATGCCTCTGAAATGTCAAGACTCTACCATGTTCAGGAAAAACGATACAAAAAAGGGGAAATTCTGCTGCAGTACTTTGACAGCCGCTAGGAGGCCACAATACTAGTATTGACCTTGACCTTCCTGCATACGCGGAAAAAAATCACACACACAAACACAGAGAGAGATAGAGGGAGAGAGAGAGAGGGGGAGGGAGAGAGAGAGATACTTCCATTTTTCATGGGGATAAAAGTTTTAAAAACCGCATTGATTCAGATGAGTTTGTGTTTGTGTATTCCCTCCAATCAACTCGGTTGGGTTAAGGCGGCCTAGGCTGATATTCATGTTCGAGTTCGGACGTGTGTCTGCACGATTGCCACATACATGTTTCGAACCCGAATCATGTTCCACCATGTTCGATATGACGTCATTCGAATAGAACGCGTGTTCGAATTCGGGGTTACCGGCGGTCATTTGTATGTTTTCCCTGTAAACCCGCGTTGTTACGCATTTTATTCACGGAGTATGACTTAAACGGCTTTACGCGCAGCTGAAAACAACATAATTCATCTTTAGAGTAATCCATGTTTACGTATTATCACTTTTTTATCAAAATTATCCAAGGCTATTTTGCATATAAGTCGACATTTTTTAACTGTGGCGATTTTTTAACGAAAAATGACAGAAAAATAGCTGTTTCTGTCGTTTTTGGCCCCAAAAAAACAGTGTAACTGTCATTTAAAACAAAATAGCCTCGGACAAAAATAATAAATAGGGAGTTGGCTTTCTACTTGTAAAATATCATGATGAAAGGTGTTGTTACCGCTTGCGCGTAAAGCCATGAAGTAAACAGCTTTTTTTTAACCAAAATGTTGATTTTGAACCCAAAAATTCAGAAGTAGTAAAAACAAAATAACCTTTATTCAATGTGTTTCAAGTACTACTAGAACTGTGTGAAGTTAAGTTCTGGTGCGACCAAGCTATCAAAAGTTACAGCCATATGTATGAAATACTAATCATAGTTGGCCATAGGCTGCCTTAACCCAACCGAGAATATGAAATCGAACACTATAAAATGTCTGATGCCTCTAAAGTTCTAAAAGTCAAAGTTGTGTCACACCAAGAATTCGGGTTTTAATGACAATGTAATTGAGGTCTTCATATTGAAAATAAATAAAAAAAGTGATGTCCCTTTTAATAAAATATTAATTTTTAATATTCAATAGGTATCAACTAAGTGTTATATTTTTTCCATCCTGATCGCGTATGATTCGTACTGATTTTTAGTTGATTAGCCCGAGCAGAGACCTCCTAGCTAGGCCTGTAGCCAAGCTTAGCATGAGACTAGAGAGCCACCTTTGCGTGTGGCTGCGGTGTAGTATCCCATGGTGCTTGGCGCGAGGGGCCCCACCCAGCGCTGTCAAAGTTGACGTGTGTGGTACAGCATTCCCGTCCATGGGCCCAGCTCAACCTGCCCGGGACATCGCTGCCCTGCTCACAAACACACCAGGTTTTCACCCAGGATAGGGGAGCACAGACACGGGAGAACCCGCTCTACCCGTGTACGGAACCGCTTGAGCGCTGGCAGGCTGGTTGCTGGTTGTTTGGCGAAACCTTTCCGAGAGCTGGCTGGACCTGGGCTGAAGGGTTTTGGTCTGCAGCCCCGCGCAGACGGTGGAAACCATGCCCATGATGGGGTGTTGGGGCCAAAGGAAGAGCGAGGAAACAAAGGATCTGGAGAAGAAGCAGAAAAAGAGCCAATCGGAGGATAGATGAGCAGCTAAAGAAGGACAAACAAGTCTACAGAGCGACACACCGACTGCTCTTGCTCGGTAAGGCACGTCGTTTACCCGGGCTGCCTCGGTGCCGTGCAGGTTGCTTCTTTCGCACTGGGCTTGTTTCTTCGCCATTATTTGGCCCAGTTTTAACCAAGTGTTGATTTGTTTTTTCCTCCAAAAGGTGCTGGTGAGTCAGGAAAGAGTACCATCGTCAAACAGATGAAAATTCTGCACCAAAACAGCTTCGATGAACAGTAAGTTTGGCTGTTTTTACCCGGCTTGGGGCCCCCTGTAGGGTTTTGCTTGTTATGGTGGTCGTATGTGTTTTGAAGTGAACTTACCCCCCACGATCATAGATCGCCAATTGTTAAGATGTTTAACGTCTCATTCTTTCTTTTTGTCCGACAGGGAGAGGCGTCAGAAAATCGCAGACATCAAAAAGAATATTCGAGATGCCATAATAGTAGGTATTTCTCTGAAATAAGGTCTGTTAAGGAGCCGAATGTGGAGCTCCATTTTGTATATATTGATCATTCTTGTCGGCCATGTTTTGTCCGGTAGTCCTTTTCTGCTGCAGGACAAGTTTTTGACGGACTGTTTCTCTGTTTTCCTCAGACAATCACCGGCGCCATGAGCACGTTAACGCCTCCTGTACCTTTGGCTGACTACACTTTGCAGGCTCGGGTGGACTACATCCAAGATGTGGCCACTCAGCCCGAGTTTTCGTATCCCCCGGTAAGTGACATGCTGTTCATGTACACGGAAATAGTCATTCTAAACCAAGATGGCAGCTATTGAAGCCTGCCTTAAGAACGTGGATGGGGCCCGTTTGGTTTCAACTTAATCCACAGAACCACAAGTTGTGTCCACATGTACATGGGACTTGTCTTAAACATGGTATGGAAGGATTTCTCAAGTCCAAGCTTAGAAATCTTAGAAAAATTACATGACACAGTCAAGAACTTTGTAAAAATTGTATGTTATCATCATAATTCATATTGCTTTTTGGTTAGTATAACTTATGTTTCACATAAGTTAAAACATACTGGTAGCGTTATTTAGGAAATAAGAATGATTGCATTAATCTACTAGTGTTACTGATTGTTGGTTGTCACATTCACACACACATACACTGTTTTTATTACACATACACATGTTTTTATTACACATACACATGCACACACACAAATGTATGCAAATGCACACACACATACACTCACACGTACATTTTATGCGCACATGCACTGCATATACACACATTTTTCTCCTCATGGATGTTACATATTTAACAGTCCACGTGCTAGCCCTATTTTTAACTATTAAGGATCTAAATGAAGTTTCCATTGGTTGGTTGGCTTGTAATTAAGTTGTGATGTGGAACATTGCTCATGAATGTACCTGAGCCAGTCAAAAGTACTGAAGCACCTGGTAGTCAACATTGAAACGTCACCAGAAAAAACTTGCCTTCAGGGCAGCAAAACTGGATTTCCAAAATCAATTTCTTGGTCATTTTTCAGGGCTGGAAATACTGGGTGCATGTGCACCCAAAATTGGAGCTGTGCACCCAAATTTTTTCTGCACCCAAATATTTTTGTAGGTATTTTTGTACATATTAAATGTCTACAGTAATACTGGATATTCTTGGCATCTAAGTGTCAGAAAATCTATGTTGTAGTACTTGTTTAAAGTATGTAAGATTTTGAAGTTAGCTCCTATTTTAGATTCAAATTCAGAAGAGGAGCAGTAAGATCTGTAATTAGGTTTTGTTTTATATGGTGCACTCAAAAATTTTTCTGTGCACCTAAATTTTTAGGTTGGGTGCACCAGTGCACCTATTCCCAAAAATGAATTTCGAGCCCTGTTTTAAAAGTTGAATCCCATAGTAATTGCCAATATCTTTGAGGTAAAAATGTGATGCTGCTGATGGAATATGGTTGCTTGTTTTTTTATCGTAGGTTGGTTCTTGAGATTTATGGGTAGTGCTGCATACCTTAACCCACATTTAGGTTCAGGTCCGGATTCAAGTCCAGAGGTTTAGGTTCAGTTCCGGACATGTAAGTCCGGAACTAAACCCACGGCATATACCAAATTGCATGTTGGCAACCTTGCAATGTTGTCTGGGTGAAACTTTGGCCACATAACATGGAGGCTGGTACTTGACGATGCCCGATGGCAATGTTTTCTTCATTTTGCAGCTAAGATTTTACAATCTACGGAAGGTTTTAGGTGGTTTGGAAAGAAAAGGGGTATGAGAAATGGTCTTCTATGGTAATAAGTCTGGACTCGGTTCTTGACTTGTAGGTTTTTTTGGACGTGAACCTAAACATTCTTACAAGTCCGGATCCAAGTCCAGTGAACCGGTACGCAGCACTATTTATGGGCAATACCCCCCAAAGTAAAGGAACACCGAATGTGGCTTGTTTTTGGTGCTATTTCAAGCACTTTAAGTATAAAATGATGAAGAAAATGTGCTAAGAAATGGCATTTAAAAATTTAGATGTCAACATAATTAAGATTTCCTTATCCAGAATATTTTTTTTTATTTGTCGCCCTGAAATTGCACTGCATGCCTGTAAGCAACATGAGTTGCTTTTGAAGGTGCTCAAGTCAACATACAATTACAATATTGGTGACAATATTCAAAACATTCTGGATGATAAAGTCTTCATGTTATTGCTATTTTCTCTGGTTAAAGGCACAATGTAGCACATTTGCAGCATCAATGAATATCTTTTTCAAACAGGTAGCACTAGCAGTAAAACATGTTTTAATGTAAACAAACCAGCATTAGTGTGATGCAATGATGTTGCATATTCACTCCCTGAATATTGTCCCTGCCATAGGGTTAATTGGACTTCTGTTGCAAAGAAATGACAAGAAAAGTATTGGTACCAAAGTTATCCATAATTATCAGAAAATCATTTGTAGTATTTTGTCTTGAATGTGGCGTAAGTCTTCCTCTGAAATTTTACAAGAAAAGGAGCAATTTGCAATATTTAAAGTAGCTCAGGACACTAAGGCTCCATTCATGATTCCAAAACCAAAATAGTTTGAAACATTTTGGCAGGATAAATCAGATAATTTGTGAACATGGATGCTGAAAAACGATTTAGTATTAGTTTCGTTGTATTCAGTGACGCATGACAGTATACATGTGAAAGTCAACTCAATGTAAACCCTTTTCAGCATGGGTGCAAGTTTGCATCATGGACACAACATGCAAACTGTTTCAGTTCAGACTGTAGCAAAAATGAAGCAAACTGTTTAGATTTGGAATCATGGACGGTGCCTAAGGTCACTCCAAGTAGTAGGGGCACAAACCTCACTCCATGGTCTGAAAGGGTAAGATGTGCGTGGTGCAGGTAAGATGTGCGTGGTGCGGGTAAGATGTGCGTGGTGCGGGTAAGATGTGCGTGGTGTAGGTGAGATGTGCGTGGTGCAGGTAAGATGTGCATGGTGCAGGTAAGATGTGCATGGTGCAGGTAAGATGTGCGTGGTGCGGGTAAGATGTGCGTGGTGCGGGTAAGATGTGCGTGGTGCGGGTAAGATGTGCGTGGTGCAGGTAAGATGTGCGTGGTGCAAGTAAGATGTGCGTGGTGCAGGTAAGATGTGTGCGGTGCAGGTAAGATGTGCATGGTGCAGGTAAGATGTGCGTGGTGCGGGTAAGATGTGCGTGGTGCAGGTAAGATGTGTGTGGTGCAGGTAATTTTGAATTATGGTTTACTTACAAAAAATCTTGGTGACAAGACGAGACTGAGACACAGATTTTAACATTCAATGATCCTTTGATCATTGATAAGCATACTAAACATGTTCATGTACAAGACATGAGTACCATTTGAGTTGTAAGTAGAGATACTAGTACACAATGGAATCACCACATACTCGTGTATTTCATACTTTAAACAACTTTGTATTCACTGTACTGTTATATGCACAGTTTGCGTGGCCACTTCTGTACAGCAAATTTATCATCACCGCAAACAATTAATTTGCTGCTACCACGAACATGTAGTTCCGTGAACATGTCCATTTTTCTTAGACTGTGAAATTTTGCTCCCGCTAATATAAAATGACTTAGGCCTTGGGAAAAAATGTTATATTTCCTGTTTCCCGACCGACCCTAGAAAAAACTGCCCACCCTAGCGCTTTTTTTGTTGGACCCCTGCAAGGGACATGAATTTTAGTTGATCAACCTTTACTTGCTCCATGATCGGACACCTGAGTGATGAAACATTGTACATTCCGGTGTCCTAATGCAAGTTTAACTTTGGTAAACTGTATAACTATATAAACTATATAAGTTGGACCACTTGAGATCAATTGACAAAGTCTAAAAAAGGAAGAAAGAAAAAAAAAGATAATCCCTACCTACTGACCCTAATTTTTTTCAGGATAAAACAGGATACTAGTGATGCATACCTAAACCCAATTTTAGGTTCAGGTCCGGATTCAAGTCCAGAGGTTTAGGTTCAGTTCCGGACTTGTAAGTCCGGACCTAAACCCATGGCATATACAAAATTGCATATTGGCAACCTTGCAATGTTGTTTGGCAGGGATCTCCCCAGAAATTTAGGACAGAATGGAGGAGGGTGCGAAATATTGGTAAATTTGACCAAAGAACCCTGGAAAAGGGTGTAAAAACACTAGTTTTGAAAATTAACAGGGTGGAGCTGAGATAAGGACTGGGTGGAGGAGCTCCACTGCTCCATTGTTTAGGGAGGTCCCTGTTTGGGTGAAACTTTGGCAACATGACATGGAGGCCGGTACTTGACGATGCCCGATGGCAATGTTTTCTTCATTTTGCAGCAGAGATTTTACAATCTATGGAAGGTTTTAGGTGGTTTGGAAAGAAAAGGGGTATGTGAAATGGTCTTTTATGGTAATAAGTCCGGACTCGGTTCTTGGCTTTTAGGTTTTTTTGGACTTGAACCTAAACATTCTTACAAGTCCGGATCCAAGTCCAGTGAACCGGTATGCAGCACTACAGGATACGCAACTTTTTTTTCTAGGCCCTACTGTAATTAGCTTATTAACAAAATTCATTCATTTGTTGTTTGTGGTTACAAAACTCAGTCATATTAAGCACGTCGGCAGAACGTACTGCGCCTGCGCAGAACCCTGGATTTTCGCGTTTTTCGTTGGATTTTTGGTCAACGTGCATCAGAATTTTCACTGTTGCAGAGGATATCTTTTCCAACACAACATTTGGAAACTACTGTCGAAATGCTAACCTTATATGAGCGAATACGACCTTATATGTGACATTCTGCCGAAGTGCTATGCACAATACATTACGGGTTCCGCGCAGGTGCAGTACGTTCTGCCCACGTGCTGTCATGTTACAACTTACAAACTCATCGTAACTATGGAAAGTACACAAATGCTTCATTTCACCTATCAAAAGTCCACAATAAAGACAAGAATTAAATAGGGCACATCCATATCCATGTTTGTGCTGAACATGGCTGACACATCTAAATACATCTAAAAACATTGATGACAAATGGATGTACTAGATAATAGATAGCTAGATACTCTCATCTGCCGAATAAACATACCCCCGGAAATAAACGTACCCCCCCCCCGGACAAATCTTCAAAACAAATAACATACCCCCGGAATAAACCGTACCCCCCGGAAAATTACCCAAAATTGACGGGTAACCTGTGTCTCTTGTACTAAAATGCGCCCTTACTGATATATGCACAAATCTTTAACTGTTATTTGCAATT